CGCAGGTGGCCTGAACCACAATAAATAATCCATATTTTCCTTCCCCTGGTGCTGGTTTTCCCCATCAGGACAGAGACAGCCCAAAACACCTTATCCCATCTCTCCGCTATCCTGCCTCCAACCTAATGGACTCGCTAGTGAATCCACAGGACCGGCATGAGCCGCCGCTGGCCCCAAATTTTTTTTTTTACTCCCCCCCCGGCGCTGCCGGCGAGACGTCCGCGGTCGGCACAGGGGTCCCCGTGCTGTCGCCTTCAGCCGGTTGATTTTCCACGAGCTCAGTCGGTCGCATTGAAGCTGGCGCCGTTCTAGCAGGGCTCGGACCAGCGACCTGGGACATCCCAACCTGCTGAATCCCAGGGTCTTTCCCAGCAAGGAGCGCTTCCAGCCATGCCATTTAGGAGCTCAGCGGCTCCCACCGAGGATGTGGGACCCCTCCGTGTCTGTGACGAGGATGCAGCGTCCTCCTCGGTCTCTCGGGAGCATCCCTCTCCCTGTATCCCCCCGGGGAACCGTGGGTACCATTTTCCACCCATCAAACTTGGTGCAAGGGCAGGCAGGCAGCCGGGACCGCGGGCAGGATATAAAGAGTATTATCGGGAAATGCTCCCTTGCCTCGCTACCAGGGAGAATCGCAGGGCCCACTCGAGGGAAGCGCCTGGCAGGCAGGACCTGTATTTAACCTTTACGTAGCAACCCCCGGGTCCGCCGCCAGCCTCCATTAGCCACGGCACGTAATCGGGGGCAGGCAGCCCCGGGCTGTCAGATGGAGCCGGGGGGAGAGAGAGCGCTCGCTGCTCGGCCAGATGCAGCCGGCAGCATTAGAGGGCTCATTAGTCACTGGGATCCGGGCAAGCTTAAAACGCTCCTGCTTGCACTTTCACCGGCAGACGGATGTTTTCCTCGAGGCTGCTGCCGTTTCCTGATGTGTTTCAAGGTGGGGGGCTCTGTAAAAGGCTTTGGGATGCGGTTCGGATAATCCTGGCATTAGGAGAGCACCCACCACCTCGGCAACCTGCGGCCGCTCACCCCGGTCCCTCCCAGTGCATCCTGATACATCACCCAGCCCCGAACGCCGTCCCTCAGCCTCCAGCCCCCCGAGCAGGGGCTGATCCCAAATATCTCCTCGCCCCGAAAGCTCCTGCCTGGCAGAGCCCTCGTGCCTGGGCCGGCCTCAGCCACCACCCACAGCCGGGTGGGATCCCGGCACCCCGGCACCTCTCCAGCCATCCTCCCCAGTCTGCCCCAGTGCTCCATTAACCCTGAACCCCCGAGGTGCTGTGAGACAAGATGCCAAGAGATGCGGCTGCACCACAGAGGACGCTGCCGTGCCAGGGAATGCCGCCGGACACCCCGGAAAGGGGCCGGGGCAGCCCAA